CGGAGGTTGGCAGCTCTCGGCACATCCTGGAAACGTCTTACAACATCAGCTCCGTATGCGGCCTTGGTACTCAGCAACTTTCCATTCCAATGGCGGCCGACCATAACGGAAACTTCTATTGTAGAATCGAAGACGTTTGGTGGAGGGAAGCTGGAAGATCTGGCGGAAGAGGCGGCTGCAGACTGCTACAGCCGTCCGGTTCACGGACTGGGGGAAGCAATGGCTTTGTCTCAAGGTAAAGTGGGGGGAGAGAGAAGGAGGGGGGAGAGAGAGGGAGGGGAGAGAGAGAGGGAAGGGAGGGGGAGAGAGAGGGGGGAGGAGAGAGCTTTACGTATAACGAGCCATTGATAAAAGGTACAAGATAGATAATGTATAGATAGAGGAGATGAGATTAATTGATAATTCAACTTGGTTGATTGACAGATGGCGATCAATCGATAAATAGATCATGTATAGATCGATAAGGATTTGACTGATTGATAATTCGATTTGATTGACGGATTGCTATATGGGGAAGATTTGACTGATTGATGATTTGACTATTATCGGGGCCGTTTATTTTGACCGTAGGCCTTTACAAGATGGCGGCAGCGCATGGTGACCAGGCGAGGTTTGGGAAGAACATCGGGGATTCCGGTGCGGATGGGGGTGGAAGATCTCCCCGGGGAGGGATGACGGGCGCAGTGGGAGCTCATTCAGCGAACTCTCCGATGACATTTTCTTGGAAGTCACATTCCTGACATAGTGCAGAGAGGCCGCGGCGCACAGCCAGAGAGAGGACGCTTACCATGAGAGCGGGGGAAGAGCAAATCCCGGGATCCCCAGCACCTGGAAAAGGACTACAACTCTCAGCCTGTACTGGATGATGGGTTTTAGTTTCCTCAACCCAAAAGAGGTATATGCTACATGTCTGGTCTGTTCCTGCAAGCAAAGAATCATGAAAGCTGATCTCCAGGCAATTATTTATAATACATCTCTGGAAAATATATATACACACACTCATATTTAATTATATTTATATATTACTGCCAAGAATTTGTATTTCTGTCCATCCAGTGCTGAGATTTACACAGCCAGTCTGGTGACCTGATTTTTTTTTTCTTCACGAGGTCAACAGCCTGGTCATCTCTCTGCCCCCCAGCCTGTGATTGAAGAATGAGGGAGCAGCAGGAAATTGATGGAGTTATCTCTCTGCTCAATCCACTTTGTCAACATACAGCATGTGCCCACAACTCCAGTGTTTGATTGCCAGAGCTGCCCCTGCCTCTCCCAGTCTGAGTGCTGCTGTACAGGGGAAGGACAGGAGGCTGAAATGAAGGTGAATCTTCTTCAAATATTCAGCCAACCCAAAGCGTAGAGGTGAATCCGAATGAACTCTATAGGGGGTGAATCTTGGCTTGGGAGAAGCAATGGTTTTGTCTTAAATGCTGGCCATTGTAAGGGCTAATAGGAAAACTGCGGTCAAATATAGGCACTGCCATGCGGCCACAGGCATAGGGAGCTGGGCACTGCCATGGGGCCACAGGCATAGGGAGCTGGGCACTGCCCTTGGGCCACCAGCACGGGTAGCTGGGCACTGCCATAGGTAGCTGGACACTACCATGCGGCCACCGGCAAGGGTAGCTGGACACTACCATGCGGCCACCGGCATAGGGAGCTGGACACTAGCATGCGGCCACAGGCATAGGGAGCTGGGCACTGCCATGGGGTGAGCACTGCCAGTGGGCCACAGGCATAGGGAGCTGGGCACTGCCATGGGGCCACAGGCATAGGGAGCTGGGCACTGCCATGGGGCCACAGGCATAGGGAGCTGGGCACTGCCATGGGGCCACAGGCATAGGGAGCTGGGCACTGCCCTTGGGCCACCAGCACGGGTAGCTGGGCACTGCCATAGGTAGCTGGACACTACCATGCGGCCACCGGCAAGGGTAGCTGGACACTACCATGCGGCCACCGGCATAGGGAGCTGGACACTAGCATGCGGCCACAGGCATAGGGAGCTGGGCACTGCCATGGGGCCACCGGCATAGGGAGCTGGACACTGCCATGGGGTCACCGGCATAGGGATCTGGGCACTGCCATGGGGCCATCGGCATAGGGAGCTGGACACTGCCATGGGGTCACCGGCATAGGGAGATGGGCACTGCCATGGGGTCATCGGCATAGGGAGCTGGGCACTGCCATGGGGTCACCGGCATAGGGAGCTGGGCACTACCATGGAGCCACCGGCACAGGTAGCTGGGCACTACCATGGAGCCACCGGCACAGGTAGCTGGGCACTACCATGGGGTCATCGGCATAGGGAGATGGGCACTGCCATCAGCGTCCTAGCTACCATGCAGGCTTGGCCTCACAATATCACTGGTTGCCAGGGCACCTGCGGCGTCACAGCATCCCGGAGACCCGCGCACATGGCCGGCTCTGCAACATTCACGTACGGGTTTCTGCCACATTCATTCATTTGTTGCATTCCCCGCCATCGGTCACCTGGTGGCGCGGACACTCTGACATCACTGAAATAAAGCGAGCACACCGCGAATACTAGCAAAAGATTTAATTCTTCCTCTGCAAAAATCACATCACACGTCATCTAAAAATAGATTCTTCCCTTTCAGAAAATTAAGTTTCCATCATTTAAAGTTTGTACAGTTTAGCGGTAGGAGGGTTCGGTGTAGACGGGAGTTGCCCGACGTTTTGCATTTCAACGCAGCGCTGACCAAACCCTTGGACATAGAAACGCAGCAAAAGGCAGCGTTCATCCCGCACATGCCGCTCCATAGCACCTGCCGCCTCCAAAGGAGGGAAAACACAGCCCCGGACCTGCCACCCGCACCGCACCATCGAAGTGAATGGGCATCTGCTGGGCCGTATTTCACATGCACTTGCAACGCAGGAGGACGCCCGCCCACACCAGCCCGACCAATCAGTGTGCGGAGAAGGACGGCATTGTTTTTCTGCAGGCGAATGACGAGCTGCTATCGGGAAGCCGGGCGGCGGGATTAATGCGTTCGGTCCAGATAAAGTCATCGCGTTCTGCTGGTCACTTTGGCGCAGTCACAAGTCTTTACATTTGTATCACAGATTGGAATCCAGTCAGCTCAGCGGGGGGAACCGTCAGACACGTCCATGCGGCCCACCAGGACCACGTGCCGGTGCCGACAAGAAAAGCAACTCAAAAATAACAAAATTACCAGCGGATTCATTTTGTCATCGGCTACATTGCCGGGAGGGGGGGAGGGGCGCTGTTAAGTGTTAGAAGTCTCTTCCATCATATAAAGTAACACACGTTGATGTTTTCACAGTCTTATGCAGCATTCCTCAACCACGGTTCTGTGGATAACTAGGGGTTCCTTCGGACTTACTAAGGTTCTATAAGAATTAGACCACCAATGTAAGGAGGTCCTTCTCCCCCCGACCACCAATGGAAGGAGGTCCTTCTCCCCCCGACCACCAATGTAAGGAGGGCCTTCTCCCCCTGACCACCAATGGAAGGCGGTCCTTCTCCCTAAGACCACCAAAGGAAGGAGGCCCTTCTCCCCCCATCCCCCCTAAAATACGATACGTATATATACAACATTCCTTATTCTTCTATACAGTCCACACCACTGTGCCGAGAGCGGTAGATATAAAAAATAATTAGCAGGGGTTCCCCGGGACCTGAATATTCCTCAGTGTCAAAGGCTGAGAACGGCGGGTCTAATGCTTGTATGAAACAGATTGGAATTAGTGTTCTGGAGCTCAGACTTGCAGTGTAACGCGGTAACATGATCAGTGTAGTGCATGGGGCAGCTCCTGCGTGTAGATTTGTGGTACATATTGCACTGTAGTAGTATTATTAGAGATCGCTTCCTCAGACCAGAAGACATCCTATTATAAAAAGAAAAGAAAAGGAAGTAGTAGAGCACACAACTGCTAGGAAGGAAGATAACTGTTTGAATCTTAGAAAACACTAGATGGCCAAAAATATGTGGATCCCCCTCCAAATTCTGGAGCTTGGGTGTCTCCGGTGAAGGTTCTGGTAATCTTACACCATACAAAGACATTGTAGACAATTGTTCTCTTCCAGCCTTGTGGTCACCATTTGGTAAAGACCCTTTTCTGTTCCACCATGACTGTCCCGTGTACAAAGCCAGCTCCATAAAGATATGGTGTGACCAGCTTGGTGGAGGAACTCGAGTGTCCCGCACAGAGCCCCGACCTCAACCCTACTGAGCACCTTTGGGATGAATTGGAACGCCGATTGTTAGCCGGATCTTCTCATCCAACATCAGCACCGGACCTCAAAGTGGGCACAAATTTCCAGAGACACCCTCCAAAATCTTATGGAAAGCGTTCCCAGGGGAGGCTGTTATGGCCACAAAAGAGGGCAACTCCATATTCATGGTCATATTTTTGGTATGGGATCCAACAAGTTCATATAGGTGCGATGGTGAGGTGTCCACAAACTTCCGACCGTACCTCTGGCCCTCCTGCGCAGTCCTTTTACATTCAGGTTTGTAATAAAATGCATTTTCAATAGTCTTCTGGACAGCGGTTAAGCTTTGACAGCTATGATAGTAAAGTCAATCTCCATAGTCTTCCCCAGCGCAGGATTTAGTTATATTGCACTCAGCATGGGAGGCTTTGTATCCCAAGACCAGGTGGCCCTATACAGGGACTGCACAACAATAGCGAAGGCTCCCAAAAAAAGTTAGGAGCCACCTCGGGGATTACTTTATGCAACAAACAGGAAGTTTGCTCTGGGGAATAGTCAGCCTTCACCAATGGGTCTCTCATTCACATATATGTATATAAAAAAGCGTTCAGTCATTGCTGAGAACCGTCCTCTGGTAGGTAAGTAGGTCTGAAGTCAGACGTTAACATATTTGTCACTTATGAGTAGGTTGTAGTTACGTATTGTGTTGCATGTGGTGTTTTGTATGCTAAGACCTGTGGGGCAGGACATGTGACAAAATCACATTTCCATACACGGAGGTGAAGGACTGGACCGTCTCTGACCGAGGCCTACTCAGTATACCATGAGGTAGTGGTGGCAGCTGCGGGATCCTCAGCGTCACTGCTCTGTTGGGTGGTCATGTTCTTGAAACGTGTCCTCTATCACCTGCCACAAGCAGTTCTCAAGAGGGAAGTCGTTGTCCACCAGGTTGACCAGGAAGTAGTTATCGTGGATGTACTGGATGATCATCCGAGACGGCGATTCCTCCTCGTAGAGCTTCGCCCACTGCTCGATCCACAGAGCAAAGGCTTCATCCTGCAAGAAAGGCCCCAGAGACACTTCGCTTAAATCCAAGCAGATACTTCTAGCATAAATGTCAACCGAACCCCTTTATACGAGAAGGCAGCCAGGCTGTATACACTAGGGACGCACCGATACCGGTTTTTCGGTATAGAGTACCAATATTTTTTTTTCCCGGTACTCGCCGAACACCGATACTGGAAGTCCCATTAAGGAAGCCGGACGTCGTGTAATGACTTGCCCCCGGGCTTCCCGATTAGCCTGGGAAGCCGTCTCCCTGTTCCCTCATCACCAGGTGATGAGAAAGCATGGAGCCGGTTTTCTGGCCAATCAGGAAGCCGGGCACTGTGTAATGACGCGTTGCCCGGCTTCCTGATTGGTCGGGAAGCTGGTCAAATCAGGAAGCTGGGCAACGCGTCATTACACAGCGCTCGGCTTCCTGATTGGCCAGGAAGCCGGCTCCATGCTCCCTCGTCACGAGGGAGCATGAAGCCGGCTTCCCAGCCAATCAGAAAGCAGGGGGGAAGGGGTGTGTAATGACTCGCCCTCCGCCTTCCTGATTGGGCAGGAAGCTGGCCAATCAGGAAGTTAGGCCAAGGGTCATTACACACTGCCCGGCTTTCTGATTGGCAGCCGCCTCCATGCTCCCTCATCACTTCTGATACCGGAAGCTCAAGATTCGGGCTAGGCATCGGAGCATTTGGGCGAGTACAAGTACTTGGCCAAATATTCGGCATTGGCACCAATACTAGTATCGGTGCATCCCTAATATACACAGTAACAGATACGGGGCTTTTACACTTTTTATCTGCAGCAATGGTTAAAGATACTCCTGGCAGCACCTAGGAGAGTCCAACTATGGCACACACACAAGACCCCATCCTGGCTCTCCAACGACCCAACCCCCCCTCCCTCAGTGGCTACCTACCTTCCAGTACATGAAGCTGTCGGGGTCGACCACTGTTGGCTGGATAATTTCGCGGCCGGGAAAGATGCCCCACGTGACAGCATTTGCTTGGAGGTCGGGGGCGTTGGTGATGTTCTTACCCTGCGGAGGGAAAGAAGTTAAAACATTTCTATGTCACAATCTACATACACGGCTCGGAATGTCTCCATTTACATGGAGCCCAGCGGAAGGATGGTCGTTCTGTGTAGCCGTGACCAGAGGACATGTGGATATACATACGTGTACATTGACGATATGGTAGTTGACACGAGGTTCGTATCTCTTCAGGACTTTGGTAAGAGCCGTCACCATCTCACTGGATGTAAAGAACTCCAGGTAGGCCTATAGAAAAAGAGAGGGCAGTCAGAACATTGTGGAATTCTGGAACGGAGAGGGAAACATGTATTATTCAGAAGAGGCCAGGAGTCCCTGAAGTCAAAGGTCATGTTTCGGTGATGCCGAAGATTTTGGCTTTCAGAATTTAAATTAAACATCCTCGAAAGACCTGAAACCCTTTTCCTATAAAAACAGGACTTCCACATCATCCGCAGCCTTGGCACGGGTCATGTGACCCATCAGAGGATTGATGGAGAACTATGAGGTGAGGGATTTCCACTCACCTCATAGTTCTAGCCGACCTGTGACAATGAGACTGTCACAGGTTGGCTCAGTAGATCGGGAGGTGAGAGAACACATACCGGGTTCGCTCACCTCTCGATCCTGTCACGGCTCTCTGCCGTGACAGGGGAGGGGCTGGATTCCCCTCTCCCCGCTCCGATCTGCCAGCGCTGACTGGCGGAACGGACGGGGGAGGGGGCAGGTACAGCTGGCTCTGCTTCTAGATAGGCAGAGCCAGCTGTCACTCACGCAGCTGGGCGGATCCCGACGTCCAGGTCGGGATCCGCTCCGGCGTCTCAGTATACCGCGAGCTGTAGCTCCCTATATACTGAGCTTAGGGTGACGGGAGGACGCTAGTTTGTGTCCTCCCGTTACCCTAAGGAGAACTATGGGGAAAAACACTGACCCCCATAGTTCTCCTTTAAGGGAAATGCGACAACATGTCCAATGCCTCAGCTCTGATCATGTGACCAGACACCGGAGGGATGCAGAATTCCCCTTGTCCTTACATGGACACTGTAGGGCCGAGTCTAGGACGAGATTCAATACACATTTCTATTCTGCGACCTCTGAAAACACAAATGAATCGCAGCATTTCACAACCCGCTTCAAACTAATGTGTCACTTGTAATAATCCTCCCAGCTCCTCAACTCTCCACACAGCTCCTTTACTATCACCCCAAGCACTAACAAGCTACCTTCTGGAAAACGTAGCCCTTGCTGGGGCCCCAGCCGACAACTGGATCCGTGGAGGGCTTTCCGTTCACGTTAGGCTGCGAGTTAATGGTCAGGATTCCTCTTTTGTTGACCTTCTCCAGCTGTTCCTTCACTAAATTGGTTTCTGGGGCCAGAGGATCATCGTTCCAAGGCAGGCAAGTAACCTGGGGAAGAGATATAAAAATGGTCAGATGACTTCACCTGGGGAGCAGGGGAAAGGTAAGGTCAGAGGCCTTCACCTGGGGAGCAGGGGAAAGGTACGGTCAGAGGCCTTCACCTGGGGAGCAGGGGAAAGGTACGGTCAGAGGCCTTCACCTGGGGAGCAGGGGAAAGGTACGGTCAGAGGCCTTCACCTGGGGAGCAGGGGAACGGTACGGTCAGAGGCCTTCACCCGGGGAGCAGGGGGAAGGTACGGTCAGAGGCCTTCACCTGGGGAGCAGGGGGAAGGTACGGTCAGATGCCTTCACCCGGGGGAGTAGGGGGAAGGTACAGTCAGAGGCCTTCACCTGGGGAGCAGGGGAAAGGTACGGTCAGAGGCCTTGACCCGGGAGCATGGGGAAGAATGGCCAGATGCTTTTAGATGTGTAGCAAAAAGGTTAGGGGAGAAGGGCCCAAATGTCGGGGAAAATGCCAACCAGACCACTTGGGTTTATCAACAGATTGTGTGCATGATACAGTTTCCCCAGCCCACCCCTCAGTGTCCATCAATGGAGTACCTATGACCAGTTACTCCCCTCCATTCCGAACTTACTTTGTGTCCATTCTTGTTGGGATTCCCAGACAGGTAGCTGGTGAAGACCTCGTACACGCTCTCCTCGCTGCACAGCTCCTCTCCCCACATTTTCAGCAACTGATCTCGTGGCGACTTGCTCGTCAGGTAGAAGAGGTAATAATCCTTCAATTCTCCAAAGGCCGGAGAGGATGAGTTCCCCCTTTATATATCAAAGACAAATATACAAACAATTAAGAGGGCATTGACCAATGAGAAATTTTTTCTGTGTCCTCCTACCAGTCTCTCCAGACATGTCCACACATACCAGCGCCCGTTCGGGAAGTCGTCCCACTCCCGTGTCCTGTGAATGTAGCTCTTCGGTCTGGAGGCCCAGAAGATAGGACGGACGTCCTCCACCCTCCTCTTAGGATGTGCGCTGACAGCCCACGGGAAAGGCCGCCTGACGGGGAAGAAAAGTAGAACATGAAGAACCATCAATGGAGCCAGAAGAGGACACGAGATAAAGACGCTCTCATGACACATGTAACACTGGGAGAGTTGCCCACCTGGGGTCCTCCTGCCACATCCCCAGACGCCTCAGCATGTCCACGGTGGCCACCTCCCGGTTCAGGGTGTAGAAGTGCAGCCCGTGCACCTCACCGCTGTCCAGCAGCTCCCTGCACATAGACACCGCCAGGTCAATACCGTAATTCCTGATGGCAGCATCATTGTCCTTAATGGGTTCAATCACATCCGTGATTTCCTTGGGAACCTCGAGCTTGGAGAGTTTCACCAACTGCCGCAAGGAGCAATAACCCTGCAGGAGGGAGAGAGGAAGGGAGGTTGGAGCTACAGGCTGCAGGAGGGGACAAATAATTGCTGAGCAATGCAAATGCAATCCTTGATTGTTCAAGCTGACCTCTGGCCCCCCCCTTCAGTCTTCCATCTGACCTCCGGCCCTTCCCTTCAGTCTTCCATCTGACCTCCGGCCCTTCCCTTCAGTCTTCCATCTGACCTCCGTCCTTCCCTTCAGTCTTCCATCTGACCTCCGGCCCTTCCCTTCAGTCTTCTATCTGACCTCCGTCCTTCCATTCAGTCTTCTATCTGACCTCCGTCTTTCCCTTCAGTCTTCTACCTGCCTTCCGTCTTCCCATCTGACTCCGGCCCTTCCCTTCAGTCTTCCATCTGACCTCCGGCCCTTCCCTTCAGTCTTCCATCTGACCTCCGTCCTCCCCTTCAGTCTTCTATCTGACCTCCGGCCCTTCCCTTCAGTCTTCTATCTGACCTCCGTCCTCCCCTTCAGTCTTGCACAGTTGTACCGGCTCCTCTCCTCTTCCTCTGATGTCTCTGCACACTGGGAGCTTCTCACAATATGCATTAGAAGCGGCAGCAAGTTAGAGAGAGCTCCGCCTCATTTCCAGTATCATCTAGCGCTTTCCTCCACAGCCCGGCTGTCCCTGGCCCTGCCCCCTTCATTGGACTTTAGTTCTTTCAATCATGGAAGCTCGGCATCACATGCGGGCATTACCTAGGGTGGTCTGCATACAAATGCCTAAGAACACTCACTCCTCCAGACTGACATCCACCCCTTAAGACATTTTAATATTTGCATAACTCCTCCCAAGAGCCAGCCCACTGCTTACATCGGGGGTGAGGAGTACTGAGGCAGGGTGCTGTGACGTATTCAGGAAGCCATGTACAGCACCCTGCCGGCTCCTCCCACCAGCCGTGTACAGCACCCTGCCGGCTCCTCCCACCAGCCATGTACAGCACACTGCCGGCTCCTCCCACCAGCCATGTTTTTCAGTAGCGGCCACTCACAGCACTCTCGTTACAGTTTTCCTTTTGCAGTGACGCACCACAACACAATGTACAGAACCCTGCCGGCCCTTCCCACTAGCCGGTGACGCACCACAACACCGTGTACATTTGTGAAGTCATAAGAGGTGACAGGGGAACCCAGACACACCTGGATGGGGAAGATACCAGGCAGGATGGGGCAGGTGATCCCTATGGCTCTGCAGTCCTTCAGGAACTGTAAGAAGGTCTCGGCCCGGAAGAAAAGCTGTGTGATAATGAAGTCGGCCCCGGCGTCCACCTTCTCCTTCAGGTGCTTCAGATCTTGCTCGTAGCTCTCGGCCTCGGGGTGGCCTTTGGGATAACCTAGAAAAAGACACAATTGCCGTCTTTGAACTCCTGCCGGATGTGTTTCACCAGGTCAACGGCATAATTGAATCCTTCCGCCTCTTCCTCCCATTCCTCTCCCAGGGGATCTAAAGTGTCAGAAGAGATTGTGAATATAATGACTGGAACAATAAAGATTATTCAAGGACGTCAATTATTGTGTTTGGGCTCCAGTGTCCCAACATCTCCCTAAGAACTACAAGGCTCAGCAGGCCCAACACCAATAAAAAAAAGATTAACGAATTCCTGAACCAAGAAGTTCTACCTAAAGTCCAGATCTCACAGCAAGTGCCGCTCTCAGGGAATCTGCCGCTCCAGGCAAACGCCTTGTTTGCCTCGCGGCAGATACGCCCCTGACTCCAGCCCAAAATGTGTCAGTTCTGGATGGAGCGGGGGAAGGGGTTCAAGCCTTAACGGGTTTTTTGCCGTTTGTGCTCCAATGGAGGAGATTCTTTTCCAACTTTCAGTGTATTTGGCGGCAGAAAGAAGGGAAAGTAACAGAGGTTCTCCTCACTTCCTCTGCTGTGTTTGATGGGTGTTGGACAGAAGAGGGCGAGAAGGGGGAAGCGGAAGAGAAGAGGGGGGAAGAAGAAGGACGTAGAGGAAGGGGGGAAGAAGAAGGACGTAGAGGAAGGGGGGGAGAAGAAGGACGTAGAGGAAGGGGGGGAGAAGAAGGACGTAGAGGAAGGGGGGGAGAAGAAGGACGTAGAGGAAGGGGGGGAGAAGAAGGACGTAGAGGAAGGGGGGGAGAAGAAGGACGTAGAGGAAGGGGGGGAGAAGAAGGACGTAGAGGAAGGGGGGGAGAAGAAGGACGTAGAGGAAGGGGGGGAGAAGAAGGACGTAGAGGAAGGGGGGGAGAAGAAGGACGTAGAGGAAGGGGGGGAGAAGAAGGACGTAGAGGAAGGGGGGGAGAAGAAGGACGTAGAGGAAGGGGGGGAGAAGAAGGACGTAGAGGAAGGGGGGGAGAAGAAGGACGTAGAGGAAGGGGGGGAGAAGAAGGACGTAGAGGAAGGGGGGGAGAAGAAGGACGTAGAGGAAGGGGGGGAGAAGAAGGACGTAGAGGAAGGGGGGGAGAAGAAGGACGTAGAGGAAGGGGGGGAGAAGAAGGACGTAGAGGAAGGGGGGGAGAAGAAGGACGTAGAGGAAGGGGGGGAGAAGAAGGACGTAGAGGAAGGGGGGGAGAAGAAGGACGTAGAGGAAGGGGGGGAGAAGAAGGACGTAGAGGAAGGGGGGGAGAAGAAGGACGTAGAGGAAGGGGGGGAGAAGAAGGACGTAGAGGAAGGGGGGGAGAAGAAGGACGTAGAGGAAGGGGGGGAGAAGAAGGACGTAGAGGAAGGGGGGGAGAAGAAGGACGTAGAGGAAGGGGGGGAGAAGAAGGACGTAGAGGAAGGGGGGGAGAAGAAGGACGTAGAGGAAGGGGGGGAGAAGAAGGACGTAGAGGAAGGGGGGGAGAAGAAGGACGTAGAGGAAGGGGGGGAGAAGAAGGACGTAGAGGAAGGGGGGGAGAAGAAGGACGTAGAGGAAGGGGGGGAGAAGAAGGACGTAGAGGAAGGGGGGGAGAAGAAGGACGTAGAGGAAGGGGGGGAGAAGAAGGACGTAGAGGAAGGGGGGGAGAAGAAGGACGTAGAGGAAGGGGGGGAGAAGAAGGACGTAGAGGAAGGGGGGGAGAAGAAGGACGTAGAGGAAGGGGGGGAGAAGAAGGACGTAGAGGAAGGGGGGGAGAAGAAGGACGTAGAGGAAGGGGGGGAGAAGAAGGACGTAGAGGAAGGGGGGGAGAAGAAGGACGTAGAGGAAGGGGGGGAGAAGAAGGACGTAGAGGAAGGGGGGGAGAAGAAGGACGTAGAGGAAGGGGGGGAGAAGAAGGACGTAGAGGAAGGGGGGGAGAAGAAGGACGTAGAGGAAGGGGGGGAGAAGAAGGACGTAGAGGAAGGGGGGGAGAAGAAGGACGTAGAGGAAGGGGGGGAGAAGAAGGACGTAGAGGAAGGGGGGGAGAAGAAGGACGTAGAGGAAGGGGGGGAGAAGAAGGACGTAGAGGAAGGGGGGGAGAAGAAGGACGTAGAGGAAGGGGGGGAGAAGAAGGACGTAGAGGAAGGGGGGGAGAAGAAGGACGTAGAGGAAGGGGGGGAGAAGAAGGACGTAGAGGAAGGGGGGGAGAAGAAGGACGTAGAGGAAGGGGGGGAGAAGAAGGACGTAGAGGAAGGGGGGAAGAAGGACGTAGAGGAAGGGGGGGAAGAAGGAAGTAGAGGAAATAAAAGATGGAGAAGTGAAGGGAATTTCCCCCACATTGGCAACAAAGAAAGCAATGAAATAATTTCCGGATACAGCGAGGAAAGTTTAAGAACCTTTTTGCCCTTTTGTTTCCAATGAAGACTCTACAATTGAAGCACCAAAACAAATACTTCAGAGAGCCAGGGGGTTTCGGGGGCTGCACTCCGCCCCTTCATCAGGGCTGGAAAGTAACATGAAATATAGAAATAAATGTAGACATAGATATAAATATAATATAAGGGATAAGAATGCTGAATGGAGGATTATAATACGATATTGTAGCATGATTGGTGCTAAACATCCCATCGAATGATCCTTCAGCAATAGTCCACCCAATAAAGCAGTCCCTTCAGTGGCCAGAGAGAACCTGCACCCTTTTCAAGAGATAACCTCTTTGGAAATAGACAGCGTGATCATTTTCAGCCCTTATCAGAGTGTGCAGCTATTAGGACCGTGGTAATCCCCGATTGGTTACTGCCAGTCACATGACCTCACCCCCTCGAAGAGCCATGATATTCTTCAGTCCCTGGTGCTTGGCTTTCTGTAGGTGCCTCGTGATCTCCTCCTTGCTTTGCTGACAACACGTCATGTGCAGAACCGTCTCCAGGCCGCAGAAATTGACAGCCGTGCTTGCGATGATCATGGAGGAGGTCTCTTTATCCGAGCCGGGGTCCCCCGCGGGGTGCCAGGTCACATCGATAAAGAGGGGCCCTCCGGAGCCCATTCGATCAAACCTGCAAAATGGGAGGAAAAGGTCATATTAGAGGTCTGAGGGCCCGTGACATCATATAAGAGGTCTGAGGGCCCGTGACATCATATAAGAGGTCTGAGGGCCCGTGACATCATATAAGAGGTCTGAGGGCCCGTGACATCATATAAGAGGTCTGAGGGCCCGTGACATCATATAAGAGGTCTGAGGGCCCATGACTCCGTCTAGCTCGCCTTATAAACAATTTCAGCAACCTCCTGTAAATGGAGGCCCGAGACCAGACGCAGGAACCCCCCACCCCCGCACGTACCTGGAGAGGAGGTTGACGGCACCACTGGCTGTGCGCGGAGGGAAGAACTCCAACGAGAACCACTTGTCTCCGGAGTCGATGCGTCTGCGCATTTTGTCCCGGAGACGCTCATGGCGTTCGAGGTCGAGGACGGGGGTGGAACATCGGGAGCTTTCCTTGGAATCCGTACTGCTGCTACAGCTGGCGCTGCTGCTGTCAATGAGGGCGGCGTTCACCATGGCGAGGTCCGGAGATCAGCCTGAAGGGGGAGGAGTTATTAGAGTCAAGAAGCAGGAATTGGGGTGATCTGAGGGGTGAAGGTGCAGGAATTGGGGTGATCGGAGGGGTGAAGGTGCAGGAATTGGGGTGATCGGAGGGGTGAAGGTGCAGGAATTGGGGTGATCTGAGGGGTGAAGGTGCAGGAATCGGGGTGATCGGAGGGGTGAAGGTGCAGGAATTGGGGTGATCGGAGGGGTGAAGGTGCAGGAATTGGGGTGATCTGAGGTATGAAAGTGCAGGAATTGGGGTGAAGGAATCGGAGTGATCTGAGGGGGTGAAGGTATTGGGGTGATCTGAGGGGTGAAGGTGCAGGAATTGGGGTGAAGGAACCTGGGAACGGTTGGTGACCTCTGCCCCAGTCCTCGGTTACAATGTTTCCACTCTCACCAGCTCGCGGTTCCATCGCAATAAAACCTCAACAAGTGTAGAGAAGATAAGAGAACCTCCCTCACGTGTCCCGGGGCCGAGCGTCAGGTGAGAGTCTCTAGTCTCAGAGGTTCATCTCCCGCAGACACTTCACTGACATCCATCTGCTGACTCGTCACTGTTCTGAGGTCCTCGGGTTCACATATACATTATCCTGAGGGGGGGGGAGGGGGCGGGGCCCGGGATCATCTCATCCTTCCCCACATTGAGGTGATGATGTCACCGATGACCTGACACATGACAAAGTGCCGGGTGACGTGGAGGGCGACCCCCGCCGACATCCCAGCAAACGTTTTGATGCCAATCAGCTTCCACTTTCACATCTTAGCTGAACAAACTGAAGAGAGAAGCTGATTGGTTGACGTTCCCCTCACAGGATTTGATGAAAGTGTGCTAATGTGTGAAGTGGACCTGTCATCAGATATATGAGATCCGACGGCCGGACTCCCCCGGACTATTCCTTCATCTGCTTGTCTTTCCCTTGGGGGGGTACAGGGGTGTGTGTATTGGAGGGTATGGGGGGGCTGTATTATCTGCAGACCAGACGCATGTAGGGGATGATGAGATGAATGCAGAGAGGGGCCTCGCAGCTCCCAACATGGCGATCGGGCCGGCTGCTATTTTCGGAGTGACATTTGATCGGCAGGGACGTCCCGGCTCAGCTCTGTTTGATTGTCTTATCAGTTCGGAATTCTCTCGGATTTTCTAGGTCGTTCTTTCCTCAGGTATATACGATGAACCCTTCACCCCCCTCAATGTCTGCTCATTACATTCACTGCATCTAATGCTACGCGGTGATTGAGCTTTACTGTTTTAATGTTAAGTGGCCAACTGATTTTATCTCAGCAGGTGTCCTGACCAGCCCTACTTTCTCGGGGACACGTCCCCTTTAAGTCACCTGGTCAGACTTCAGACCCCTGATATTGTCTACTGCAACCCGACCACGGCCCAACTGTTGTCCATAGAACGCCCACTGTGACTCAGCAGCTCAGCTCCCCCCTCCCAGCAGTGGCTCAGCATCCCCTGCTCTCCTTCCCAGCAGCTCTGCTCCCCCCTGTTCCATTCTTATCAGTAACTCAGCAACTAACTCAGCGGGAACTCCGCTCCTCCTGCTCCCTCCTCTCAGCGGGAACTCCGCCCCTCCGCTCCCCCCTCTCCGCGGGAACTCCGCTCCTCCTGCTCCCTCCTCTCAGCGGGAACTCCGCCCCTCCGCTCCCCCCTCTCCGCGGGAACTCCGCTCCTCCTGCTCCCTCCTCTCAGCGGGAACTCCGCCCCTCCGCTCCCCCCTCTCCGCGGGAACTCCGCTCCTCCTGCTCCCTCCTCTCAGCGGGAACTCCGCCCCTCCGCTCCCCCCTCTCCGCGGGAACTCCGCTCCTCCTGCTCCCTCCTCTCAGCGGGAACTCCGCCCCTCCGCTCCCCCCTCTCCGCGGGAACTCCGCTCCTCCTGCTCCCTCCTCTCAGCGGGAACTCCGCCCCTCCGCTCCCCCCTCTCCGCGGGAACTCCGCTCCTCCTGCTCCCTCCTCTCAGCGGGAACTCCGCCCCTCCGCTCCCCCCTCTCCGCGGGAACTCCGCTCCTCCTGCTCCCTCCTCTCAGCGGGAACTCCGCCCCTCCGCTCCCCCCTCTCCGCGGGAACTCCGCTCCTCCTGCTCCCTCCTCTCAGCGGGAACTCCGCCCCTCCGCTCCCCCCTCTCCGCGGGAACTCCGCTCCTCCTGCTCCCTCCTCTCAGCGGGAACTCCGCCCCTCCGCTCCCCCCTCTCCGCGGGAACTCCGCTCCTCCTGCTCCCTCCTCTCAGCGGGAACTCCGCCCCTCCGCTCCCCCCTCTCCGCGGGAACTCCGCTCCTCCTGCTCCCTCCTCTCAGCGGGAACTCCGCCCCTCCGCTCCCCCCTCTCCGCGGGAACTCCGCTCCTCCTGCTCCCTCCTCTCAGCGGGAACTCCGCCCCTCCGCTCCCCCCTCTCCGCGGGAACTCCGCTCCTCCTGCTCCCTCCTCTCAGCGGGAACTCCGCCCCTCCGCTCCCCCCTCTCCGCGGGAACTCCGCTCCTCCTGCTCCCTCCTCTCAGCGGGAACTCCGCCCCTCCGCTCCCCCCTCTCCGCGGGAACTCCGCTCCTCCTGCTCCCTCCTCTCAGCGGGAACTCCGCCCCTCCGCTCCCCCCTCTCCGCGGGAACTCCGCTCCTCCTGCTCCCTCCTCTCAGCGGGAACTCCGCCCCTCCGCTCCCCCCTCTCCGCGGGAACTCCGCTCCTCCTGCTCCCTCCTCTCAGCGGGAACTCCGCCCCTCCGCTCCCCCCTCTCCGCGGGAACTCCGCTCCTCCTGCTCCCTCCTCTCAGCGGGAACTTCGCTCCTCCGGCTCCCCTCGGCAGGAACTCCGCTCCCCCCTCTCGGCAGGAACTCCGCTCCCCCCTCTCACAATGCAGCAACCGTCCCAGTATAAAAATCATTTCAAATGGTCAATAAAATGATGAAAAATGTTCCATAGAAATGATGGCGGGAGGAGGAACCATATCCCAGAGGGGGCCATGGGTTCTCCCTGGGGGGGGGGATGTACAGCTGTCTGTGAGGAGGAGTGATCAGAGAGCCGAGCCCAGAAATGTCCTCTGTGCACCCCAATACTCGAGAGTCACTAACACCCCACCACTGTGTCAGTATATCAGTTTGCTGTGACCCCAGTACTGCACTACCATCCCCGCTGTACACATAATACAGGCCCCGCAGGGCAGACAACCCCTCCCCCATGGTCCTTATAAGAGGTTCTGCAGCAGCTCCCTCCCCCCACGTGTTGCTCTTATATAATCTCACTCACACTCAATCGGGATCCGGGAGGACTACAATTCCCAGCATGTACAAGCCGCCAACCACCCCCTCCTCAGACAGGATCAGCCACCAAACTGGTACTTGTAGTTCTGCACCAGCTACACCCCCCTCCTAAATATCACCTAACAGGTCATTCAATGACCCAGGCCCGGATACGACATGGACTACCACCCCCTCGGTACACTCCGACCCTTCGAAAACCCCACCGGCTGTAGCCCCTCACGGGGGATTTTCCCCTCATTAACCCCTGCAGTTACAACTCACCTCCTCTGTTCTCCGCTGCCGACCTAAGCTCGCTCCCGCAGCCACTGCGTACGCGCATGAAACCTCCCGTGACGTCACCGCAACCACGTGACCCTCACCAGTTCGTACAGCAACATGTCAGCTCCTATCCGTACGGAGGGGGGAGTCATGTGATGCGCTGTGGGCGGGACGTAGCGGTTGGTACACACTGGGGGCTCGCGAAGACAAGGCTGCTGGACTCACGTGACAGTCGGCAGTCTGGGGGGTGCGGGAAGATGGCGGCTTGCGGGGGAGACGTGTGCTGCTGCTGTTGCTGCGGGGAGAGGGAGAGCCGCACCCCGGAGGAGCTGGTGAGAGGGTGTCCGCCGATCCCCATCATAACCTGAATACACCCACCCATTATACCCTGCACACACCCATCCATTACACCCCATTATACCCTGCACACACCCATTGTACCCTGAATACACCCATCACACCACAATTTACCCAGTATACACCCCATTTTACCCTGTATACACCCATCACACCCCATTGTACCCTGTATACACCCATCACACCCTGCTTGCACCTGTCACCAGTTAAATGTCTCCAACCTTCCACCCCAATGCACACCCCTCTCACCCTTCATATACCTGTCACCCTCCAATCTCAACCACAGTTGGTGCCACTCCCTCATACAGTCCCTCATGGTACCCCCTATTTCCCCATCACACCCTGATATACGGCCCATCCTACTCTTTATACACCTACCAAACCCCCATCATTCTTCCCCTGCCCTCTTCCCGTTGTTATTGCTCCTTGCGCTCTCCATGGTACTTGGTTCTTGCCCTCCCCCATGGTTCTTGCCCCTGACCTGCACGGAGATCCTCCCCTTCTATTTCCCGTCTTCTTCTGTAAATTGAGATCAGTGTAAAACTCCAGAGTGGCGGCGGCACTTTGCGTTCCCTAATCCTGCGATCTGTACAAGGCGCAGAACGTCTCTGAAGGAAAGTTCGGGAAATCTCTACACAAATAAAGGATTAAGGATGGAATTTCCTGCTACAGGACGGGAATGACAGATTCACTTTCCAGCCGCCCCGATGTCAGTGTGTGAGGGAACTGGTACATACCACAGGGGGGGGGGTATAGAGATGTAGGTTTAATACAGGGGTCTCAAACCCAAATGACCTGGGGGGCCACTGGACATGTTTCCTTCTTCCATGGGGGCTGCCTCAGGGGAGACGGCCAGGGATGAGAGCGAGGGGTGTTCGGCCAGGGGAGAGCGAGCGAGGGGAGCCGGCCAGGGGAGAGCGAGCGAGGGGAGTCGGCCAGGGGATGGAGGGAGAGCGAGGGGAGTCGGCCAGGGGGAGACAGCCAGGAGAGAGAAGAGAGACAGCTAGGAAAAAAAGCCACCTGATGGGGTCTGGCACCAGTAGAGGGCGGGCTCTACCCCCATATCGGCAGCCCTGCTTGCAGGCCAAAAGTAAGTGGTCCGCTGGCCACAAATGACCCGCAGGCCGGTACTCTGAGGCACCTGTTTTAATAGAAGTATTGTTGTTCTTAAGTTTGGTTACAATGTTTGGCCAGTTTAGATGAAGAGTAGAGAACGGCGGAGAGCAGAGTTCTCCTTTAAAACAAACCTGTTCTCCATTCATTGGCTCCTCCTCCTGAAAATCGAGCACTACGTATCATGCAGCTTATTCATTATTCCCGGCTTGTCAATGTACAACAGTGGAGGAATGTTCAGCTCTGCGGATTTCAGATTGGAATCTGGTTAACTTTAGTCATGTGACAGTCGGGTCAGACTTGGAGAACAATAGAAGATCAGGTCAGCTTGGCTTTCAATATGGCTTCCTCCACGTCTTGCTTCGGAAGGCCATTTTGTACACCAAAATCAACTAGATAATTGTGTTGTTAGGGAAGAATCAAATGCCCAGCAATGTCCTTGGAAAAGGGTGAGTTCATAGACCCTCTGATGAGTAATGGGAACCCCCCGGAGTGATTAGGTAATGGGTACATCACCAGTGCCATCATTTTCTGGATACTTAGTCATGTAGGTATGGCATGGAAGGTGGCAGGGCTAGTCGGGCTTTCACTTCCTTTTAGATATGGACTCCTTCACTTTCTGGAAGAGTCGAAAGAGCATCCAGGACCTCGGGGAGATGTAATTCCTCATCTTAATATGCCTTGGGTCCTCTTCCTAGCTGGATGTATCTGCTACAGCTCCCAGGAGCTTCTTCAGAGCTGCATTCATATAGGGAGCTACGGCCACCTTAACTACCATCTTTTAATTTGTAAAAGCGTGACCTCTGCTCTGAGATCCTCCACGACCCCCGCACACCTCAACACAGAACCCAACATTCCTCCTCATTTCTCCTCCTCATGCTGAAACTCCCTCCACAACTCATGACTTCAGGTCTATACGGTCTAGAATCTTGTGTGAAGAAGGCCCTTCGTGGATAGCTCAATTGGGAGACAGTTGTTCCCTCCTAACAGGAAGTGCCTGAACGAGGACCTTCATGACATGACCCCCAAGGATTGTTTTATAAAACCTGCATGGTTAAAAAGATTCAAAACCTGCACACCTGCAGTGCCCATTATGAGGGGCTCCCACCATCTCTGTGCTGAGTTGCTGGGTCTGTACGCCTGCTGTGCACATTATGAGGGATTCCCACCATCCCTGTGCTGAGTTCCCGGGTCTGTACACCTGCTGTGCCCATTATGAGGGGCCCTCACCATCCCTGTGCTGAGTTCCCGGGTCATACACCGGCTGTGCCCACTATGAGGACCTCCCACCATCCCTGTGCTGAGTTCCCGGGTCATACACCGGCTGTGCCCATTATGAGGACCTCCCACCATCCCTGTGCTGAGTTGTCCGCTATGGCACCCCTCATATCCCTCTCACTACAAGGCACCATGATCATCTCCATGGCTAAGAACCACTGTAACACAAGCTCACCGGACTGAATTTGCACACTCGGGTCCTTTGCATTGAGCTCTGTAATCCTCCGCTCTCTGTGTTCTTTGCAGACTATCCTGGGTGAGCCTCGTGAGGAGGATGAGGAGATACTTCCCCGGAAGGATTATGAGGTGAGCCTCTCGCATTGATTCTTCCATTTATCGGCTCTGCTGAGTCACAGAAGCTTGTATTGAATTCATTTGGACGATGATTTGTATCATTGGATGACGTGTTCACCTCGTGTCCTTCCGTCTCTCACCTTGGCACATTTTTCTTCGATTTTTGCAGAGTTTGGATTATGACCGCTGCATCAACGACCCGTATCTGGAGGTTCTGGAATGCACCAACCGAAAGGTAAAGCCTGACCGGCGTACTTCTCGGGTCCCTTCTGCCTGCAACATGGGATCACATAGAAGGTAGAAGGCGACCTGCTCCGGGCTTCTGTCTGCAGGACAACCTTGGCACTCAAGATGTGCTGAAGCTGCAAATCCCATCATGGCTCTACTTCTGGGATGTCATACCTTTTGGCTGTCAGTCTTGCAATGCCTCATGGGACTTGTAGTTCTACAGCCGCTGGGGTGCCGAGGTTGCCTGCCCCACTGCGTAAGACCCTCTGGTCACCTGTGTTTTGAAAAAGTCTAATTTAGAGGCCGGATTCCCAGCGCTGCCCATTGGAGTCTTTCTGTAGGTTCGGCACACACACCCTTGAACAATTAGAGCAGGATTGCAACCTTGGCACTCCCGCTGTTGTGGAACTACAAGTCCCATGAGGCATTGGAAGACTTTGCAGCCTCAGGCCTGACTCCCAGAGGCAGATGCATGATGGTATCGGTAGTTCACCCCAGCTGGTGGGCCGTGGTTGCCTACCCCTGCTTTAGAAGGAAGCCCCACCTTCATTTTAGAATACAGAACACATTACATTCAGGGAGATGTGGATCTGAGGGAGAGTGCTCTATGGGTTAAGCACATTAATGGTCAGGTTCTATTACTAGTCCACCCCCGATCCACTGACCTTTGCTGCCTTCCCTCTCCACTCTGTTGCTGCATCGCGGCCAGGAGTTGTGGCTTAGACGTGGTTGATGACGTCACCCCTGTTTTTTAGGACTGTGTTTTGCCCTAGTGATTGGCTGCTCAGTCACTGAATAAAAGTGGGTCAGGAGTGGGATTGGCAGTGACCTGAACGAGCACAATGACAGAGAGCTGAACTCCGGGATCAGCAGACATTGTCCTCATACAAGAGTCATGTGTATTCTTCTTGAATCTCGGTGATCTTTGTATATTTCTTCCAGGTCTGTGCAGTAATCCAGTGTGAGACTTGGAGCTTCGTGTAATAAAGACCGGCCACTGCTGCTTTCTCACCTTGTGCAGGGTGACTGGTATGGTCTCCGCCCCCTCCTGTAATAAAGACCTGTCACTGCTGCTTTCTCACCTTGTGCAGGGTGACTGGTCTTGTCTCCGCCCCCTCCTGTAATAAAGACTGCTCACTGCTGCTTTCTCACCTTGTGCAGGGTGACTGGTCTTGTCTCCGCCCCCTCCTGGGTGGATCCTTCTGGGATCTTCTCACAGCTCACCCTTCTGCATGGTCTGTACAGCACAGTGATGATGTCACTGCTATATTTACAAGACATTAACTAGCTTTGTAAAGGCATTTGGGGCACACAATATATTTTATACCCTGAGCAGCTTTTGTTCAATATCTTAAAGGAGAACTATGGGGTCAGGGCTTTTCCCCATAGTTCTCCTTAGGGTAACGGGAGGACACAAACTAGCGTCCTCCCATCACCCAAAGCTCAGTATATAGTGAGCTGCAGTTCGCGGTATACTGAGACGCCGCAGCCAGGACTGATCCCGACAATTACGTCTGGATCCGCCCGGCTGGGTGAGTGACAGCTGGCTCTGCCTATCTAGAGGCAGAGCCAGCTATACCCGCCCCCTCCCCCGTCCGTTCCGCCAGTCAGCGCTGGAGGATCGGAGCGGGGAGAATCCAGTCACTCCCCTGGCACAGCTCTCTGCCGGCACAGGATCGAGAAGTGAGCGAGCGCCGGCATGTGTTCGCTCACCTCCCGATCTACTGAGCCGACCTGTGACAGTCTCATTGTCACAGGTCGGCTAGAACTATGAGGTGAGGGAAAATCACTCGCCTCATAGTTCTCCTATAAAAAAGAAAAGATTTTCTGCCCAGGGCTCCGCTTTAAATGCCCGACATGTGATGATTATTTCCAGAAACAGCATTAGGCCTCACTAGGCTCTGTGTGGTCCGCCGATACCAAACTGGGAGGATGGAAGATGTTGTCACATGGACGAGTCTATCCAATGCTCAAAATATCTTGTGTAGTACTAAATGCATCGGTTCAATGTGGAGCTCCCCTTTAAGTTTGTGTCGGGTTACCGTTCCCGGTGTTATGGTGCAGAGCTACGCTTGGATCGGTCACCCTGTTTTTTTCTTTTCTTCGCAGAAAGCCAAGAGGTACGAGGCCGTTCGGTGGATCATGGTCTTCGCCATCGGCGTGTGCACCGGACTGGTACAGACTGTTTTTTTAGCTTGTTGCTCTTCATGGACTTCAGTAAAATGTATTATAACGGTTAATCTAAAAACAAATTTCCACTTTAAATGGGAAAGTCGTTCTGTTATGAAGATTGAAGCATGGCCTGGCAGCTTTGTAGTTGGGGGGTGGAGTCAGGTGGGTCGTTGGGGTGGAGTCAAGTGGGTCGGTCTCTGGTTTTGAATGGGCTTCCAGTGATGAGATCCTCAGCCATAGTTATGACTCTGTTCATATCCACCCCGAGGACTCTTCCTGACCTTCCTGCTGCATTTATCATTCTAGAGATTCTAATGGGGGGGGGAATAGAGAGAGCGAATATGCGAGCCTGGGACCGTGAGCGTAGTGATCTCCCCGTCTGCTGGCTCCGCCCATTTCCCCCGCTTCATTTGCTGGGTACCATGGGTGAGATGTACACATAAAAGACTGTACATAGCTTCCTAAAAACATCACAGCACCCTGTTTCACTACTAAAACCCTAAGTCCTAGTGCAAGCAGTGGGCTGGCCCTTGGGAGGAGTTATGCAAATATTCAAATGCCTTAATTAGATGTAATTCTTGAAAAGTGGGCGGTCCACCACATGCTTAATTTGCATACACACCGCCCTAGGTAACGCCCACACGTGACACTGAGCCTCCACCATTGAAAGAACTGAAATCCAGCGAATGAAAGTGGTGGGGCCAGATACAGTCAGGTTGGGGATGCGGGCATGCTCCAGGAGAGGGCCGGGAACTGCGGGCATGCTAAAGGCACCAAAGTAGCTCCCGGGCAGAGTGTCCTGACTTGAGGGGGCTGTTCGGATCATCTTCAAGCACTTTGCTATCTTTGTATATTTGCATTCTTTCACACGGAGTTCACCGTTCACCGGATTATTTTACCTATTTGGACACGTTTTTTGATTTTTTGATGTTTATTAGCACTTATTAACTATATAATCTATTGGACTTGATCTTTATTGATTTTAATTGTATAATTTATACGGTTGGAGCCTCTCTATTTATTTATAGTGTTCTAGTTTGGTTTTTACACAGCTATACACCTAACAAGTTTACAAATCGTTTTTTGCCCGAACACCTACCCTTCGCTCCTTTGCACATTTTTTCCCCTAGCGCTTTGCTTTTTTTCGATCATATTAGGATTCATCCCTCTTCAGAGCAGCTTCGGGTTTTAATTATTCTTTCACAATTTATTCACATATTTAATTTTAATTCATTTATTCCTTTATTATCACCCCCCTCCAGAAGCGCAGATTAACTTGTTTACAGAGTGTCCTGACTGCCTATGGCACACCAGACAAGCCCTGATTTTCGGGAGCAGGTTTCACAGTAAGAACCATCAGCTTTTTGACTGGCTGAAGAAAATAAAATATGTGACCATCCTGTGTGAGTAGTGATACCTCTCCGGGCCAGTCCAACGATGAGCCCCTGCAGGGGGTGAGTTGTGTGTGTGCCATCTGGGCTCCATTGTGTCTTGTCTTTCCTTGACCCGATAACACAGCTGTTGAGGAATGTACAGATCGGGGGTGTCTGGCCCTGTCCCTGCTGGAACTCCTGGGGTTCAACTTGACCTTCATCTTCATAGCCACACTCTTCGTCCTCCTCCAGGTAATGGTTGGCATGAAATGGGGCATTGCTGGTGTATTACAGTGTGAAGTTTTCCCCTGGATTTATCCAATCACCTCCTGAAAGATAGGAAGGGAGTCCATGTGGAAATCAGGATTTCTCCATATGGTCTAGATCAGGGGTCTCAAACCTCCGGCCCTCCAGCTGTGGTGGAACTACAAATCCCATGAGGCATTGCAAGATTCTCACAGACATGACTCCCGAAGAGAGATGCATCATGGGACTTGTAGTTTCACCCACAGCTGGAGGGCCGTAGGTTTGAGACCCCTGGTCTAGATCCTTGGTTCTCAACTTGTGGGTCGCGACCCCTGTGTTCAGTGGGTGGCCATGTGCCTTCCACTGTGCTAGGTGAGAGGCTCCTCAGCTCCTCTTGTCAATTCTTTCACCAAGCAGCCATTCAAAATATGCTGCCCTGTGCCGAGTGTCTGCTTGAGGTGGGCTGGGGCTATGGTCGTGAGGGAGCTCCATCCATATGTACAACTCTCTTGCATGTCCTGTAGAGGTGCCTGGAGTGATGTCACATTCTGGCTCCCAGGGACGTCTCCAGGGCACGCAAGGGAGCTGTTCAAACATTGCGCATATAGATAGAGCTCCGTCACAGCACAGCAGCCCACACTAGACCCCGGGCTGAGGATCAACTCCAGCTCTCGTAAGGTATGGAGACTGGGTGGATCTTTTGAATGGCTTCCCAAAGGCACCTCCCACCCACAGTTCAATCGCTCGCACCGGAAACACACGGTACCGCAATGCTGTGCATTCTATTGCAGTGTGACTTGGGTGGCGACTTAAAGGAGAACTATGAGGTGGGTGCTTTTCACTCACCTCATAGTTCTAGCCGACCTGTGACAATGAGACTGTCACAGGTCGGCTCAGTAGATCGGGAAGTGAGCGAACACATACCGGGTTCGCTCACCTCTCGATCCTGTCACGGCTCTCTGCCGTGACGGGGGAGGGGCTGGATTCCCCCCTCCCCGCTCCGATCCGCCAGTGCTGACTGGCGGATCGGACGGGGGAGGGGGCGGGTACAGCTGGCTCTGCCTCTAGATAGGCAGAGCCAGCTGTCACTCACGCAGCTGGGCGGATCTCGACATCGATGTCGGGATCCGCTGCGGCGTCTCAGTATGCAGGGAGCTGTAGCTCGCGGTATACTGAGCCTAGGGTGACGGGAGGACGCTAGTTTGTGTCCTCCCGTTACCCTAAGGAGAACTATGGGGAAAAGCCCTGACCCCATAGTTCTCCTTTTAATGACCAAGGACAAATGTGGGTCCTGGGGTTACACAAGTTGAGAACCACTGATCTAGATAACCATTCTATCATTTGTTTCTGCTGATCACAGACCCGGAACATAACTCTAGAAGTGGCTATTCTAGCTTTAGAACATTTCATTCCGCCTCGAGGGATTTCAGGCAGCAGCCTGGGCATGTCAGAAATAGCTGCTTGGAATATTTTATATATGGTTCTGCTTTGTACTTTAGAGTTTTTTTTATCTTTTCGTTTCATAACCTTTTTTTTTTACATAGCCTATAGCAGCGGGATCCGGGATTCCTGAGATTAAATGTTACCTGAATGGTGTAAAGGTTCCAGGAGTGGTCCGTCTCAGAACGCTCGTCTGCAAAGTCTTGGGGGTTTTGTTTGGTGTTTCTGGAGGTAAGGACAGCGCCCCCTTGTCTCCTGTACTGCAATACTGCACAAGAAAACTAGCATCGAGTTCAGCCATAACATTATGACCACCCCCCCTAATATTGAGTAGGTACCCCGTTTCCTGACCCGTCCAGGCATGGACTCCACTAGACCTCTGAAGGTGTGCTGTGGTATCTGGCACCGAGCCGTCAGTAGCAGATCCTATATGTCCTGTAAGTTGTGAGGTGATCGGCCTCCATGGATCGGACTTGTTTTTCCAGCACATCCCACAGATGCTTCATTGGATGGAGATCTGGAGAATTTGGAGGCCAAGTCATCACCTCAAACTCGTTGTTGTGTTCCTCAAACCATTCTTCAACCATTTTTGCAGTGTGGGAGGGCGCATTATCCAGTTGAAAGCGGCCACTGCCGTCAGGGAATACCGTGTCCATGAAGGGGTGTACTTGGTCTGGAACAATGATTAGGTCGGTGGTACGTGTCAAAGTATCCTCCACATGAATGGCAGGACCCGAGGTTTCCCAGAAGATCAAAGCATTAGACTGCCTCTGCCGGCTTGTCTTCCCAAAGTGCATCCTGGTGCCATGTCTTCCCCGGGTAAGAGACGCACACACACCCGGCCTTCCACATAATCTAACCGAAAACATGATTCATCAGACCCGGCCACCTTCTTCCATTGCTCCGTGGTCCAGTTCTGATGCTCACGTGCCCATTGTAGGTGCTTTTGGTGGTGGACTCAGGTCAGCATGGGCACCCTGACCGGTCTGTGGCTACACAGCCCCATACACAACAACCTGCGATGCTCTGTGTGTCCAGACACCTTTCTATCAGAACCAACATTCACTTTATCAGCTTATTTATGAGCTCCATTATCTCTTCTATTAGATCGGACTACACGGGCCAGACTCCCCTTCCTGCGTACATCAATGACCCTTGGCTGCCAATGACCCTGTCATCGGTTCACCGGCTTTCCTTCCTTGGATCACTTTTGGTGGGTCCTGACCACTGCAGACCGGGAACATCCCACAAGAGCTGCAGTTTTGGAGTTGCTCTGACCCAGTCCTCTACAGTCACAATTTGGTTCTTGGCAAAGTCCTTTAAATCCTCACACTTGTCCATTGTTTCTGCTTCCAACACATCAACTTCAGGGACAAAATGTTCACTTGCTGCCTATGTGCTCCTTGTAACCAGATAATTAATGTTATTCACCTCCCCTCTCAGTGGTCACAATGTTATGGCTGATCGGTGTAAGTCTTTTGTTAAATGCAAATAGTATATTGAAGCTTTGAGTGGAATAGAAAAAAGCTGATTTCTTATAATACACTGTAAAGCCCAATACTGGGCTTTGTTTCCTCTTCTTGATTCACCCCGGCCTTCCTCCAGCAGTAGTTTCTGCATTATTTTTTTTTTAAACTCCTCCTTTCAAAATGTCTTTAGTCTGGTCACATGACCAGTTCTTCCTCTCTTCACCCAGTGGTTAGCAGCCCTTGATGATACAGGAAGTAGCACTGATTTGATGATATCTACAGCGCTGTCTATATCAATACATTGTAAGTGCCGGGCACTGTGGTGAGAATGGGCCCGTGACGCGCTGCACTCACAGTATGAACAGCAAAAAGTTTTCCCGGCACACTCACCAGCCGGCATACGAAAAAAACTTGTCTCACCGCTAAGGTTAAAAACAGAGGTTTGGATACGCGTCTTCTGCAGAAAATGTGAAAGACGCACAGCCGCGCCAAGGCACCTCTTATAGTGCGGTCCTAACTCTAAACTATCAGAGTCTCCATCTTGGAGCACATGGGGCAAAAGATCAAATTGGGTGCAGGTTTGTCAGGAGGAAGCCCAACCTCCCTTAAAGGCACAGAGACGCACAAGGGATCCTGCACATCACAAGGCAGATGAGACCCCCCCATGCATTACTGCGCCAAATCAGTCAAGCACTCGCAGTATGTTCTCAGTCTTCCGGGTCCAACCTGGAAGACTAAGACATCTTGTGGCAGAGAACAGGTACTGCATGTGGCAGCTCTGGGTTGACGGCGGGTATTGCAGCTAGAGCTCCTTTTTATTTTTTTTACATCCCCAGGAGTAGTTAGAAATCAGTCCAGAGTTTAGATTTGCCCATTGGCTGCATCCCAACCTCAGAAACCAAATGTATAATTTCATATTTAGAGATCTAAACAGCCCCACCGTTAGAAATAAGACGCATTTATGTTCTTGTACATGACCTATTCCTGGATTAGTCATGTGACTTCCCAATTCTCCCATTCACAGGCCTCTTTGTTGGGAAGGAGGGACCAATGATTCACAGCGGGGCTGTTGTCGGCGCGGGGCTTCCTCAGGTAGGTCTAAGTGGCATTTCCTTCCTCCTTTCCTTCTACCAATCTGCATCCTTCATGCTGACCTCTCTCCTTCAGTTCCAGAGCATTTCATTCCAGAAGATTCGCTTCAACTTTCCATATTTCCGCAGTGACAGGTACGCACAGCAGAGAATTGGTGCATATACAGTATGTATGTATAAGATTACAACTGATCCTCTCAATTCATGTCCTCCTCCATCTTTAGGGACAAGAGGGACTTTGTTTCAGCGGGAGCCGCGGCAGGGGTGGCTGCTGCCTTTGGGGCTCCCATTGGGGGTACACTGTTCAGTTTGGAGGAAGGATCATCATTCTGGAATCAGGGGCTGACCTGGAAAGTGGTGAGTTGTTGGTGTGGGTCATCTGTTGGGACAGCACTGTGTTGGCTCTGTACAATTGTTGTGAAGGAAATTTTGCTTTTCCAGTTATTAAAGGAGAACTATGAGGGGGGGAGGGGGGTGCTTTTCACTCACCTCATAGTTCTAGCCGACCTGTGACAATGAGACTGTCACAGGTCGGCTCAGTAGATCGGGAGGTGAGCGAACACATGCCGATGTTCGCTCACTTCTCGATCCTGTCACGGCTCTCTGCTGTGACAGGGGAAGGGGCTGGATTCCCCGCTCCCCGCTCCGATCTGCCAGCGCTGACTGGCGGAACGGACGGGGGAGGGGGCGGGTACAGCTGGCTCTGCCTCTAGATAGGCAGAGCCAGCTGTCACTCACGCAGCTGGGCGGATCCCGTCATCTACGTCGGGATCGGCTGCGGCGTCTCAGTATACCGCGAGCTGTAGCTTGCGGTATACTGAGCTTAGGGTAACGGGAGGACGCTAGTTTGTGTCCTCCCGTTACCCTAAGGAGAACTATGGGGAAAAGCCCTGACCCCGTAGTTCTCCTTTAATCACAATCAGATCTAATGTGCGGCTCTTGGAGATTGCTCATGTGCGGACAGTCGGTGATCTCTGAATTGCTGATCCAAAAGGGGCGCCGAACAAGCTTTCTGAGTCCAGTAATCATTTATTGGATCTGTAAGTGACAACGGGAAGAGCTTAAGACAGCCAATGCATTTTCGAGGGCCACACCATCCCCATTCATCACGTATTTAATGAACTCTTAGTAAACGCCCGGGGTGTATAAATCTCAGCCAGAAGCTGGTGCCATAGCCCGAGCTTACCGATAATCCTTCCAAGTGCTCTTGCTGCTCTCTGAACCAATAAAGAATTTTTCGACTCTTAGGAATGTTTGCTCGGCGCTCCTCAAGATTCAACCGTACGTAGACTACTCAGTTTGTGGAAAGCTGCCAAACCTAAACCTCTTGGCTCCATTTAAGAACCTTGGTTGTAATGGTGGAGGATCCTAATCCAGCCCCCTGCCCCCGACCTCTCCATGGGTCAGTGATCTCTGTCAGAGTTTAGGAAAGAGGTGCAGCTGACTGGTCTCTCTTCTCTTCTGTCAGCTCTTCTGCTCCATGTCGGCGACATTCACACTGAACTTCTTCCGCTCTGGGATTCTGTTTTCAAGCTGGGGGGCCTTCCAAGTCCCCGGGCTCCTAAATTTTGGGGAGTTTAAGGTACGTGTCTAATAATTACATTTTAGTTTTCACTGTCTTGTGCTTTTTTTCTTTAGAGGGGGGAAGTTTTCAGTTAAAGGTATAATCCATCCTAGCATGCTTTACTCCCATCTCTGTCTTCCCGAACCCTGGGACATACCCAACAAGCCGATCTGATTACAGACCCATGGCATTGCTAAACTCTAGGGACGGACCGATACCGTTTTTTCGGGATCGAGTAACAGTACCGCTATATATATTTTTTTCCGGTACTCGCCAATAACGAATACCGGTGCCCAAAATATCAGGAAGTTGGGCGGCGGATCATGACCTGTCTCCCAGCTTCCTGATTGCCTGTTAAGCCGGTCTTCTAGCGAAAGAACACCGGCTTCACTTTCCTGAGGCTGCCCGGCTTCCTGACCAATCAGAAAGCCGGGTCGGCGAGTCATGAGGTGCCGTCAGGCTTCCTGGTTGGTGAGGAAGCCAGGCAGCCTAGCAGCAAGTGAAGCTGGCTTCCTAGCCAATCAGGAACCCGGGCAGCATGTCATGACCTGTCTCTGGCTTCCTGATTTGGCTAGGAATCCGGCGTCACCTGTTGCTAGGTAGCGTGGCTTCCTGACCAATCAGGAAGCTGGGAGGCGGGTTATTACGTGCCGCCCAGCTTCCTGATTGGTTAGGAAGCCAGGCTGCCTAGCAACAAGTGAAGCCAACTTCCTAGCCAACTAGGGAGGCAGGTCATATCCCATCGCACGGCTTCCTGATCGGAAAGGAAGCTGGCTCCCTGCTCCCTCGGCACTTGCAGTCAGAGGGAGACCTCCCTCTGACCAAAAGTTCCGGTATCGGAGCATTTGGGCGAGTAGGAGTACTCGCCCAAATACCCGGTATAGGCACCTATACTAGTATCGGTGCATCCCTACTAAACTCTGTTCCGGAAATCCTTCCCAGAATCTTATTACAGATATTTATATAGCACCATCAGTTCGCGCAGCGCTTTACATAGTTGCACATTCACATCAGTCTCTGCCTTCAAGGAGCTTACGATCTAAGGTCCCTATCTCACATGCATGCATACATAGAGGACCTTCCAGATATGTCATGTGTTTGTATGTGTCCTCATGTACACTCATGAGAGATTTGCTGTATTGTCCCTTATCATTACTATTGTCACACTGATTTCTCTTCCAGTGCTCCGATTCGGACAAGAAGTGTCACCTGTGGACTGTAGTGGACTTGGCCTTTTTTATCATCATGGGGATGGTCGGTGGGTTGCTGGGAGCCACGTTCAACTGCCTGAATAAAAGACTGGCTAAATACCGCATGAGGAATGTCCACCCGAAGCCCAAGCTTGTTAGGTACATCCAATATTCCTTCAACTGCAGCCTGTGCGGCCACTATCACTGATTTGTATATCGCTATCGTCTTCCGTAGCGCTGTACAAAATGAGATGTATTTGGAACAATTTCCTCACAGGCCATCCCCACCCAAAATGCTGTGCAGGCTCTGCGTGCAGATAATTGTTTTCAGACTGATATCAGCACCTGATTGGGTGAAGGAGGGGCCCGCTAATGCACTTTCCTGTCTTCCAGGGTCTGTGAGAGTCTTCTGATCTCTCTGGTCACCACAGTGATCATCTTCGTGTCATCGATGGTTCTGGGGGAATGCCGGAAACTTTCTCCCCCGACAAACTGGAACAGCTCCATCCCTATGCAGGTACCGCAATCTTCCCGCTGTTCATGTATGTTATTTGCTAACACATCTCTATGTAGCAAAGTGTCGCTAGACCCATAAAATGGCCTGTTTATAACACTATCTGACCAGCAGTCCACACTGCGCTCCACATAAAATGCAGGCTTGTAGTGTCCTAAAGCGTTCTCCCTGCATAATGCTGCAGAGTGCACGCTGTGATTGGAGGAGAGGCTGATCACATGGCTTTGACCACAGCCGTAGCTAGCTCCTTTTGCACCCGAGGTAAGAACATAAAATTGTGCCCCCCAACAGACGTGTGCGGTATACGACGTCATGCGCCCCGCCTCCAGAATGGCCGAGCGCATGTGCATAATGCACTGGAGACCAATCCAAAATAGCATAAAAATGTGTTTGTCCATGGCAACAGGTGCGAGGGGGCACAGCCAGGCCGGCCCTGGCTGCGCCCCCTCTCGGCTGCGCCTGAGGCGAGTGCCTCACTCGCCCCATGGTAGCTACAGCCCTGACTGACAGGTCACATGACTGGTCCTTCCTCCTGTACATGTCCATAGAAATATATATATCTCTCTGTGACCCCAGAGAGACTCTTCCTATCTGTTGTCCCCAACAGTCGTCCGGTTTATCATCTTTCCATCAGGTCTCCTCATCGGATGAAGTCAATTCCAGCATCAAGACCTTCTTCTGTCCCAACAACACCTACAACGACATGGCCACGCTCTTTTTCAACCCTCAGGAGTCGGCCATCTTGCAGCTCTTTCATCAAGAAGGTCAGTATGCTCTTGTCGAGTAACATTTTTATGGCCGTCAGGCTGCCAGCAATGGTTTGTGTGAAAGGTTCTCCCCGTCTCTTGTGTTCCAGGCACTTTCAGCCCCATCACTCTGTCTTTCTTCTGCTCTATATACTTCCTCCTGTCCTGCTGGACGTATGGTATTTCTGTGCCTAGTGGTCTGTTTGTACCCTCCTTGCTCTGCGGAGCTGCCTTTGGTCGTTTGGTAGCTAACCTCCTGAAAAGGTAGACTATACACGAGTGGGTGGTCTCCCGGCTGTTTTATTGGCATTTAGGCCTGACCTCTTTTGCGTCTCTGTTGTGTTCAGTTACTTGGGATTGACCCACATCTATTCTGGAACCTTCGCCTTGATCGGTGCCGCAGCTTTCCTCGGGGGCGTGGTCCGGATGACCATCAGCCTTACGGTCATCCTCATCGAATCGACCAATGAGATCTCATACGGCCTGCCCATAATGATCACGCTCATGGTGAGTTACTCTTGTGTCTCTTGCCACCTGTATAATCCTATGTTGCATTTGGATATGGTGCTACCACCTGCATATTTATATCCTCTGTGTGCATTGGGTATACTCCCATCCTCCATGTGATTGGGGTTTTACCTCCTGTGTTATCCTCTCCTCCATTTTTAGATATGGTCCAACCACCTGTACAGTCATATCCTCTGAGTGGATAGTGTATAATGCTATGCTCCATGTGGATAAGGCTTTACGACCTGTATATTCCTTTCCTCCATTTGGATATGGTCCTACCACCTCTACAGTCTTATCCTCTGTGTGGAGGGGGTAGGATCCTATCTCCTGCCTGGAGGGGGTAGGATCCTATCTCCTGCCTGGAGGGGGTAGTATCCTATCTCCTGCCTGGAGGGGGTAGTATCCTATCTCCTGCCTGGAGGGGGTAGTATCCTATCTCCTGCGTGGATGGGGTAGGATCCTATCTCCTGCGTGGAGGGGGTAGGATCCTATCTCCTGCGTGGAGGGGGTAGGATCCTATCTCCTGCGTGGAGGGGGTAGGATCCTATCTCCTGCCTGGAGGAGGTACGATCTCCTGTATGGCACAGGGTCTTACACCTGTTTAATTTTATCATCCATGCAGATAGGAACTTGCCACCAGTATAGTCATATCCTCCTTGTGGATAGGTATAATTCTTCCTCTGTGTGAATAGGGCATAATCCTATACTCCATGTGGATGAGGTCTTGCTACATTTGTAATCCCGCAGTCATTCACCTTGTCTGGTGCTGGAAATGATCTGACCTGCAGTGAAGCGCTCATGTGTCCTGTACCTGCAGGCACATAACGTACGCTACGGTAAGTCCATCCAAGACACTAACATGCCATGCAGGGACCCATTTTATGTACCAGGATGAGTCCTTTCTCGGTCTCCTTGGCAGGACTATTTGCTAAATATACGACCTCGGCAGAACAAGTTTTTTTTATTGTCAAATTCTTTGATAATAAACTTTGTATGACTGACCCATCACCCAGAAGTCTTATGAGCTCTGCTGTATGGGTGTGGAAAGCCATTGGATCTCCACTAACCTCCCAGCACAATGTAGGGGCGAGTGGATAAGCGAGTAGTTGTCGACGGCTGATTTTGGTGTCTTTTAGGTTGCAAAATGGACCGGAGATTTCTTCAATAAAGGGATTTATGACATTCATATTGGACTGAGGGGCGTTCCTCTGCTGGAGTGGGAGACTGAAGAGGAATTGGACAAGTAAGGAGATTTCTAACCACACTCACACCTATACACAGACTATGGACAGAGCAATTTCTACATCTCTGTTATGGACCTATTGATTCCACAATAACTTTTTTTTATAAACAATGAAGGGAATGTTTTTTTTTTTTTCTTTTTTCAAATCTCGATTTATTGAGCAAGAAAAAATAAAACAAAAGGTTGGTATAGTAACAAATCGTAAAGGTCTGCACGCAGGCAACCAACTTGTTCAATATAACATACAAGAATGTACAAAACATAATGGTGTACCTAACTTCAAAACGAGGCAACACAGTTAAAGGCACAGTGGCATATCACCAGTTCCTGAGCCCATCAGTTAGCATCGAGCAAGCCACTGGTCAAGTAGCGTAACATACCCTATATAAGGCATATAAATTTGCAGCGCATACTAGATTGCGGCCGTGTTGGGGGTGCCGTTTCTAGAATAAAAGCTGGAACCTTTGTTCATCCGGCTAATTGAGCCCTCTCCGATACATTCTAAGGAGTTATGGCAAACCGGAAGTTATGTTGTTCTGTGTGTACGGAGACCCCCAACACAGGAACATCTTTTCATTGGGCAACAATCATTATTCAGGGAATTAATACATCCACAATGGATGTAAAAGAAGAGAAGTTTGAGAAGAATTTCAGCAAGTGTGGAAGGAATAAAGAAAAGAAGGTTGGGTAGGTACGAGAAGGGGGGATCACCTGCCCACCCCGTGACCCCCACTGGGAGGCATTGCAAAGAACAGGCCGCTGCACACAGGACACCCAGCCACTACAGCTCCAAGAACTGGGGCTCTCAAGGAGGAGGTGGCGGTGAAGAGTCCTGAACCGGGGTCATGATCTGTAGGTACGCGTCCGTGGAACAATGAAGGGAATTTATCACAACGGGAGCAGACAAAATCTGGAGCAGCTGTGCACGGCAACCAATCAGCTTCTCTCTTTCCTTTTCAAATCTTTACCGAATAAACTGAAGAGAGAAGCTGATTGGTGGCCGTGCACAGCTGCTCCAGATTTTGTCTGCTCCAGTTTTAATAAATGATCCCCAATGTGTCAGACGGGCCCGTATTTCGACCAGTTGTAGACGCTGAATGCCCTGCACATGTCCAAAAAAACTTCATGGAAGTATGGAGGACACGTGTAGTACACCCTGTCCTTCTGCTGTCCCCCAGACCACCCTCCAATGACCGGTCATTATGACAGACAGGGGTTGCTGTGTATATACAGCAGCTTTAATAGATGTATTTACACGGCAACTTCCGGCTGTCATTTTGCAGCAAGTGGGGGGGACAGGACGGACAAGGTGTACTACACGCATCCTGTGTACTTCCAGGAAGTTTGGACATGTGCAGGACATTCAGTGTCCACAACTGGTTAAAAAGAGATGCCATTTCATACAACATGTTTGAGGGGGAAGTGGAAGGGGATTGTACCCCCTAAATTGGTATATGGAAGGATCTTGACAGGCTGTGGCTGATAAAGGAGACCCTGTACGACCCCCTCATCATCGCCTATCTTATTGTGACTATAATATACTGAAGTGGCATCTTGATTTGCAGCAGTGGTAGGGCGCCATCCCTTTCCATCACCCCGCCACCCACACCCACCCAGGATGTAATAGTCTAATCACTGTATGGAGTGCAGCCGGACATCATCTTCCATTATATTGTCTGCTTGTCACAGGTTAAGAGCCAGCGATATCATGGAGCCTAACCTCACCTACGTATACCCTCACACCCGCATCCAATCCCTGGTCAGCATCCTGCGCACTACCGCCCATCACGCCTTCCCTGTGGTGACTGAGAACCGCGGAAATGAAAAGGAGTTCATCCTTGTCAGTCGCCTGAATGAAATCGTACCGGTGATGCTGACGGGCAGGTTTGGGAAAACGCCGATGTCATGAATATTAATCCGCTGTCTGCTTCACGCAGAAGTCCAGCATCCTGACGCGAGCCGGCGAACAGCGGAAGAGGAGTCAGTCTATGAAGTCCTATCCGTCCAGCGAACTGCGCAACATGTGCGACGATCACTTGGCCTCGGAAGAAGCCCCTGAGAAGGAGGACATGCTGCAGCAGATGTTAGAGCGAAGGTAAGGACTGAGCTCCGGGATCAGCAGACATTGTCCTCATACCAGATCCTTGTGTATTCTTCTTGAATCTCTGTGAGCGTTGTGTATTCCTTCCAGATCTGTGCAGTAATCCCGTGTGAGACTTTGAGCTTCCTGTAATAAAGACCGGTCACTGCTGCTCTCTGCTTGTGCAGGGTGACTGGTCTTGTCTCCGCCCCCTCCTGTAATAAAGACCGGTCACTGCTGCTCTCTGCTTGTGCAGGGTGACTGGTCTTGTCTCCGCCCCCTCCTGTAATAAAGACCGCTCACTGCTGCTCTCTCTGCTTGTGCAG